GTTCGGAACGATGCAGATATACTTACATTGAATTTCTAAAAATTTCTGGAACTTTGCACAAATCCTCAATTATGGAACAAATTCAGGAATTCTTACAGAATTTATTTTTTCCGTGCAGTCTACCGGCAGTAGAAAGGTCGTGGGCTCGTATCCCACCATGCTACCGTTTTTTCTGGATTCTTTGATAATTTTGAAATTATTAATTAATTTCGAAAATATTTTTCAGATTAAGCAGGTTTCTGTATTCGGGCAGCTGTGCTGTCGATACATATGACATCTAAGAGCTTATAGAGATTTATTTAAGATATTTAATTTATTTAGTAAAAATTTGATTCGGATAATTGATAGCTTCTTTCTTCTTAAAAAATAATAAAGTTACATTTTTCCGTCAAGAATGCAGGAAGAGGCTTCCGGCAGGCCAAGCGCTTGGACGTTCTACCATTAAATTCGTAAAAATTGAACATGTAGTGCCATCGCGAAGTATATTTTGTAAATAACTTTATGCTCCTTGAGTAAAATTAGTCGCACCCTTTTTTTTCAGTAAAACAAATTAATGTGAATCGAATGTAGAGAGTTATGTCTTCAAGAGAGTTATGTCCAACCAAACAACTTTTTTTATACCACTATCAAGGCAATTAATATTAAAAATCACTGTTTTTAAATAATAATTCAACAGCTACAGGAGTTGTATTTCTGGCTTGACTTCAATAAAATTTGCAGTGCGAGCTTTCTACAAGTCGTTTAATGTCTTCAAAACTCCATAACGCATGTAAATTATCTCAGGAACAGATTCACGGAAAGCTTATATGGGTGATTCTCCACGTAGCGCACGATTTGGTTTATGAAATTAAAAAAAAATTTTTGTATCGTTATGGTTATTATCAATATATTTTTTTGAAGATAAAGGCTTTAAAAAGAAAAATCCATAGCGGGCCGGAAAAATTATTTATAATTTTTGTTGTAAACAAGTGTAGTAATTAACTAATTCATTGTTTGGACACATTCTGTCAAAAAAAATTTTGCGGTAATTTATAAAAATTTTCGTGGTAATTTATGGAAATTTATTTAAGTAATTTATGGTAAACTTTCCTGAGCTATAGGTTTTTTTTATTCCTTATATATATGTGGCACCATAACACTGCCTTTGCACTAGGTTCTTCGTAATACGAAGGTCGGTGGAAATTCTGAGGTCGGTGGAGACTCAGGCTGGTGGGAACTTTTTCAACCGACTTTGGATTCAGTTATGTACCATTAATCGTAGAATTTAATAATCTTTCGAATCGTATATTTGTTAATGTTCTGACATTTGTATTTACAAAAAAATCGTGATTTAAAGATTGGTATGTTTTTGGGCCGTGCGCGTGCACTGTAGGGTGTCCCAAAAAAATAAAAAGTTTTTTTTATTGGGTCTCATCCCCTAAAAATCTTTTAATTTGTGTAAAAATAAGAACACAATATTTGGAAATAAAAAATTTTAATATTAACCCGTGGTTCTTGGACCATAAAAACGTTAAAAATTTAGTGTTTTTTCATTTTTAACATAAATATAAATGTAAAAATATAATGATTAGGGTGTCATTGTAAAGATAATTAAATTACCTTTCGATCCATATGTCATAGTATAAGATTTAATGAAAATTAAGAGTGTTACAGTTGATTAAAGATCAAATTTCATGGAAATTTTGATGATTTTTAGACACTTAAGTAACTAGTACTTTTTTCACATTGAACAGTAAAAAATATTTAGATTTTAATTTTTTTATTGAGAGTCTAACATTACAAAAATCCGTAATTTAATCGTCGATTAAATTCGTCTCAAAATCCGTTACCCGATTTTGAGACGAATTCGATCGACTTTTATAAAGTTCTCCGCCATTTTGAAATTTGAAAAACTGACATTGGACTCTAAATCAGCGACTTCAGTATTTTTTTATCACTGATTTTAGTAAGTTTTGTGGTTATATCTAAATTTATTGTTTCAATTTTTGCTCCAAATGTTGAAGGAATGATAAGAATAAAAAAAATAGTTTCGTTCACTAAATCTAGCACAGAAAAAACTTGGACTCATTTTTGTTGCAACTCAAAATGAGTCCATGTTAAATGACATAGAACGTGGCGCAATCTGCCCTACTCATTTTTGTTGCAGCTCATAATGCGTCACTTTTCCGACTCATTTTGAATTCAGTTTTTTTCTGTGAGTGTATAATTGTCATTTTCAATCAAATCGAGGTCCACAAGGGCTAAAAATTTTCGTAATGTTACAGACTCTCAATAAAAAAATTAAAACCTAAATATTTTTTACTGTTTAATGTAAAAAAAGTACAAGTTACTTGAGTGTCTAAAAAATAAAATTTTCATGAAATTTAATCTTTAATCCACTGTAACACTCTTAATTTTCATTGAATCTCATACTATGACATATGGATCGAAAGGTAATTTAATTATCTTTACAATGACACCCTATTCATTATATTTTGACATTTATATTTATGTTAAAAATGAAAAAACACTACATTTTTAGCGTTCTTATGGTTCAAAGGCTCTGAACCACGGGTTAATATTAAAATTTTTTATTTCCAAATATTGTGTTCTTATTTTTACACAATTTGAAAGAATTTTAGGGGATGAGACCCAATAAAAAAAAAATTTTTATTTTTTTGGGACACCCTAGCGTGCAGCCGTACCGATAATTCCCGACGATAGTGTACACGGAAAAAAAAGTACGTGAATCCTTCCTTGACAGTGCTTGACTTTTGGATAGGACACAAAATACAAGGCTGTTCCATATACTTTTTATTAGAAAATATAATTCTAGGACTTTCTTATATTTTCTAATAAAAAGTATATGGAACAGCCTTGTATTTTGTCCTATCCAAAAGTCAAGCACTGTCAAGGAAGGATTCACGTACTTTTTTTTCCGTGTAGGTATTATTAATTTAATTAACTGATTTATTTTTATCATTTTTAAAATTATATTTAAAAATATATAAAAAGATTAGAAAAATTTCAACTTTATTACCTATTTTAAAAAAACTTTTAGGCACGGGCACACTTTTTGCTTGTTTCGCACCTACCACGTGCAAATGGTTTGACACGACAGTAGACTCCACGACAATGGAAATTTGTACAAAATCCATTAATACATATTTTAAACAAAAGCAAATAAAAAATGATTTGTCAATAAGTTTTGTCGTATTCATCTTCAACTTTTTATCAGTTTTTTATTGATGTATTTACTAAAATACTAAAGTTATGACATGGCACGACACTGGAATTAATAAAAATACGCAGTGTTTTTACTTGAATATAACAAAAATATATAGTATTTCCTAATTTCTTTTGGGGATTTGAGGAGTGACACGTTTTTTCCTTGACTTCCTGATAAGTTTAATATAAATAGTGCACGTCTTCTAGTTTATTTATTTCCGTTTATACATTGTCGTGCTCTCGTTAAGATTTGTGAAGACACATATATTTGAATAATTATCAGTAAGTATATTGATTTAATGGAAAATTGGAGTGATGAAAATTGTAGCTTTTGAGTTAAGCTATAAGAATATTAATTGAATAATTAAAGACAGTTCTGTTTTTATGAGCATCAGCAAATTAAAGTTTGGAACTCAGAGGTTAGGACGCACTGAACTGATACTTTTCAGCTCTTTAATGTTATTTTGCACTAAATTTATAAACAAAATTATAGTTTTATATTGTGTAATAGTTTAGGGATGTTTAAATAATATTTTCGTCTATTGTTTATAATTCAATGATTACATGTTTAGAAGTTATAAAGCAAAGACATGAAAATGCCTACTTTACGGAGAATCACCCATATGCTATGAAGTTCTGAGGGCATTAAACAACTTGCAGCAAGCTTGCACTGACAGTTTGCGGAAAGCTTGTCACGTGATAAAATGTTTAATTATATATTATTTAATAAATTAATATATAATTATAAAATTTAATTTAATTTAATTTAATTTATTATATATAAATAATAAAAAATTGTCAACGTCGTAGTAGATGTTAACTATTAACATTATCAGTTAAGGGTTCATACTACTTTACCAATTTCAAAAAATCGATTTTTCTTTTTTAACAGATTTCGAAAGTAAAACATCTTAAAACCACTTTTTTCCATGCTGTGTAATGTTTTACTCGAAAACTGCTGGACTGATTCTTACAAAATTTTTACCACATCTTCGTGGCATGTATGGGTATCGCGGGAACTAGAATTATGTAAAAATATTAATTTTTACTATCTTTTATACTGAAAAACTGTCAAAAAACCCTTGTTTTACAAACAACTTTATTCAAACTGCTCCCATTTTCTTTCTTTGTATAAAGATTAATCATTCTAGTTCGGACGATGAATATAGTCCTATGGAACCTAAATCTTGTTGATTTTTGCGTTCGTAAAATAATTCTAAAAATTAGCTAAATTTTAAGGCGTGTAAAGTGGTATGAACCCTTAAGATAGTATTGTGAAGGGCCTGCTAAAGAGACGGATACTCACGCTCTGTGCGATACAAGCCCTACACGAGTCATAAGCTGTAAACAAATTTTACTTACACCATAAAAATGAATTACAGTAAAACGCTTATAGTTTCAACATTTTGGGGGCCTTGACATGGTAGGCTTTTGCCCACAGAGGGGATATTTTGCGCATTAGGACCTAGAAATTATAAGAGTTCTACTGTAACATTATTTATTGTCGAACAGAATAAACTAACTTACAAAAATATTGAGGAATGTGTTTACATAATATAAAGCTTTTCTTATATAGTGAAACGCCTCTAATTTCAACGTCTTGAGAGGGACTTTATGTTATTGACACCAATTGCTACTGCCTAGTTTTTTATCATTAAGTGACGCATTTTTTTTTTTTCTGTGCATAACATGGACTGACACAAAATATATGAACAAGGACCTTGCAATGAGAGTCGTTTTACTATAACATGTTCTTAAAAAGCAATTTGTATTAGTAATTATTAGTTACTCACCTGACAAATATCACCTACAATTATATCGGATACGGAAATTTGTTTTACTTCTCCTTGTCTGATAACGGAGAATCTATGTTCCCCTTCTATTCTATTTTGAAGACCTCTAAATTGACGCTCCTTAGAATAATCATTAAAAGCTGTCACTATAACCACCACAATGACGGATATCAAAATAGCAAGTCCTTCAATCCAACCATACTTTGCCTCATCGTCATCTATTCCTGGAGCTATTACATTAAAATATTATTATTATTATTATACATTCCTTCCATAAATTAAATTATAATTCCGAACGAACAATTCGGTTTTAAGCATTAAAGTATCTACGGTTTAAGCGATCACAACACGGGCGTAAACATTTGTAAAAGTTTGGAGGATAATAAATATCTGATACAATGTACAATATTTCAATAAAGTTTTAATGAAAAGTCTAAAAATAATGATGAAAATCACTCATTTTTTGCGGTCAAAGAGGTATGTAACCCCTTAACAAAAGAAATTTAATAATTATGTGAGAAATAATTATTAAAGTTTTTATGGAAAAGAGAGAAAGTCCTATCAATAAGATTAAACATTATATAAAGTTTTTGGTTAAGTGATGGATGGTTTGACGAAAAATGAAAATTTTTGAAAAAGTGGTCACCAGCCATGAATTTTTAAATTTTCGACCTTGGCAATTAATAAATGAGGTTTCTGGTGTATTGTTACGTATAAATTTTCAGAAAAAACAGCAAACCGGATTCAGATTGATAAAAGTGTCGAAAATGAGTGATTACTACCTAAGGTTCCATACACGAAAAGAACTTTTTTTTAGTATAAAAAAATTCACATACATAAGAATAACTTGTTGCATGATCAACAAGAAGCAAGCTTAACCGTGAATGTTTTGCTTTCAGTAGAGGAGCTTTTCTCTGAATGCAATGCTAAAATAGGAAAGTATGTCCGACTGCAGGAGCCCGAACACACTGGATGCAAATGACAAAAAAGATGTGAAAATCGTCTAATTCACTTGAATTAAGGGACTGGAAGCTATAAGGGATACGCGCCATTCACTTAATCCAGTCCCTCAATTTTATTTCTATAATGTCTGAATCTACTCCACGCATTATTTCGCAACAGATCTTTGAATTTGAGTAGTTTCTTTTTTATAAAAGTCATGACATAAATAGTACATTGCACAACTAAAGTCGGATTCAAAAGTGTTGGCCCGTCACTTTCAATGCTTATAGCTTGTCCAAAAAAAATCTTAGAATAAAGCAATAAAAAATTTCTGACGAATAAAGTATTCCCCATTTGAGTAATGTAAAATCTATTTTGCAAAAAAATTTTTTACAGACTCAGCAATCGAAAATGTTGCGAAAAACACGTATTTTCAAGACATTTTTCACAAGGTCAACTTTGGTGGGCTACCAAATGAAATGTAACTTTTTGAAAAATGTGAAAAAATTCAAGTGAATACATTGAATTTTCTAAAATGTAATGGGTTTTACCGAGTTAAAAAATTCTTATTAATTAACTATTATAATACACTTTTCCACAATAATGTTATCTCTTCACTTAATTGAGCTAGAGCTTTCGTTTATGTCATAAAATAATCCGTTTAATTACATGATTAATATGCAAAAGAAACAAATCAATTTATGTGCAAATTAAAAGAGAAAAATGAGTATAAATAATAACTCTTTTAATCAGTTGTATGAACCTGTCAGTAGGTATGAAAAAAATGTCGAAAAAAAGGGTCACTGAGAGGACAATAGTAAATCGGAAGGCCAACCGATACAGGCTAGAGATGCATGCTAGAGATGCCTTCCGATTTACTATTGTCCTCTCAGTGACCCTTTTTTTCGACATTTCTTTCATACCTACTGACAGGTTCATACAACTGATTAAAAGAGTTATTATTTATACTCATTTTTCTCTTTTAATTTGTACATAAATTGATTTGTTTCTTTTGCATATTAATCATGTAATTAAACGGATTATTTTATGACATAAACGAAAGCTCTAGCTCAATTAAGTGAAGAGATAACATTATTGCGGAAAAGTGTAAGGGGAGTGTTCCGGTTGTGGGCACCCTTTTGTTTTTGCCTCATAACATTTGTCCATGTGCATATTATTCAAATATATGTGTACGAATTTAAAGCTAGAGGTCTAAGGTGACTGTCAGTGAAGGAATTAAATTGATTCCTTTAAATAAAAAAGTTTTATTAGAAATTTAGTGAAATGGGAATTTTTTGACAAAAAAAATTTTGTACCCGGTTGTGGGCACCCTTGAAAAATCCGCTAAAAATGGAAAAATATTAAAGGAAACCAACACAAATAAAGAAGAAATGAAAGTTTCTTTATTTTAAGAGAATTTGCCGGGATAAAGAACAAAAATGATGACACGTTTTCACACTATGCTCATCGCTAACAAAAGCATAATGCTTGCATGTGAAGTAGCTAGTACGCATACCATAACGCACTTCGAATGCACTGAACGACTATATTCATCGCATTTAATGGAGTTTGCGGCTGTCACTTTCCTTGGCAGAAAGTTTAGATAGATGAGACAGTAGTCCTCATCATTGTCAGATGGTAGAGCCTCCTTAACATAAAGGTGCCCACAACCGGGAATGACAGTCATTTTTTAAAAAGACCAACACATTTTGTGATGCAGGATTTTGGTTAAACACGAAGGTAAATCACAAAATATAATGACAACACTGCAAAAAAAAATTAAACCCTTTTTTTCTGAACGAATCTACACCCATATGTTGCTCTTCGAAAACAATACAAAATTACTTTTTTATTTATTTAATGCAAATTTTCTTTATTATGCTCACAGCTATTACACAAATGCATATATTTGTTTCGTTATCAATACGAAAAGTCCGTATTGTCAACGAACACGACTTGCAATACTTAGTTCAGTAAAGTCTGCTTGCCGTCGAAGTTTACGTAGGGGTGCCCACAACCGGAGGGTGCCCACAACCGGCGCACTTCCCCTATTATAATAGTTAATTAATAAAAAATTTTTAACTCGGTAAAACCCATTACATTCTAGAAAATTCAATGTATTCACTTGAATTTTTTCACATTTTTCAAAAAGTTACATTTCATTTGGTAGCCCACCAAAGTTGACCTTGTGAAAAATGTCTTGAAAATACGTGTTTTTCGCAACATTTTCGATTGCTGAGTCTGTAAAAAAATTTTTTGCAAAATAGATTTTACATTACTGAAATGGGGAATACTTTATTTGTCAGAAATGTTTTATTGCTTTATTCTAAGATTTTTTTTGGACAAGCTATAAGCATTGAAAGTGACGAGCCAACACTTTTGAATCCGACTTTAGTGGCACGAAAAATCATTCTTTCACCACGAGTTGTGCACTACGTTTTCTCCAACGCCTTGCGAGGAAAGGTTTCTTCGTGAGTTTCGTATAATTTTAATTTAACGTGTGCTTATGTTTAATATAATAAAAGACGAATGTTTTGAGTGGGGAAGAAGTTAGACACAAAATATATCTCGGTCAAAGAATTAAAGATTAAAGAATTTTTGTGCAACACCTATAAGGAAAGTAATACTTTGCATGCCTGTAAAGTAGGCGCAAAACAGTACTTTGCTGCACTAGTGCGGCAAAGTTCTTAAACTTTTGGGTTTTTTTGGTGATATACATAGGTATTTGTTTTCTATTTGTAGAATACCTATTTTTTACAGTAATATACGCGTAAAAAACCACGAATATTAAGTGCGGTAACATACGTTCCAAACCCTGCTAAACAGTACGTATGTTGGCGTCAACTAGCGTTTCCAAACAGTAGAGATGTGCAAAAAGCTCGAAAAGTCGAGCCGAGCCGAGCCGAAATTTTTTCGGGCCGAGCCGAGCCGAGCCCGAGCCGGCTCGATGTATCGAGTACTCGAAATTTTCGAGTACTCGAGTGACTTCGAGTACTCGAAAAATTCGAGTACTCGGGTAAATTCGAGTACTCGATTAAATTCGAGCACTCGAGTGAATTCGAGTACTCGAATTTTTCGAGTACTCGAATGGATTCGAGCTTTTGACTTACTAAAAAAACTATTAATAAGTAAAAAATTTCGAATTTTTTTGAATTACTGAATCAATATTTCTATTTGCTAAATATAATAAATGCGAAAATTCTATGAATTTTCTCTAGAACTCGAATTTACTCAGAGCTCGAAAAAATTCGAGTACTCGAATTCCCTCGAGTGCTCGAAAAATTCGAGTACTCGAATTAACTCGAGTACTCGAAACTATTCGAGCTTTTTACACAGCTCGGCTCGGCTCGAACTCGGCTCGAGCTCGAACTGATTAGGCTCGGCTCGGCTCGGCCCGAAAAATGAAAAGCTCGAAAAAGCTCGCTCGAGCCTCGAGCCTCGAGCTTTTTGCACAACTCTACCAAACAGCTTTTTTTATCAAAACCAAAAGGTGTTGCACAATATACTATTATTTTTTTAATAAGTGAGCCCATAACTGGAGGTAAAACCTTCAGTTAATATACTTTCTCCAACACTTGCTCTGAAAGGAGTACTTTTCTTGGTAGAAAAGTGTGGCGAAAGTAGAACTTTTCTCAACTGTTCTGAAGAGCGTGGCGAAAGTAAATTCAGCGTGGTGAAAGTACATAAATTTAGCGTGGCGAAAGTAAATCATGACCTAATTCTTTTTTCTTGTTCTTTGACCGAGATTTATTTTGTATCTAACTTCTTCCCCACTCAAAACATTCGCCTTTTATTATATTAAACATAAGCACACGTTAAATTAAAATTATACGAAACTCACGAAGAAACCTTTCCTCGCAAGGCGTTGGAGTAAACGTAGTGCACCACACGTGGTGAAAGAATTGCTGCTCTCGCTACGCTGCTATGACGAAAAAACAAAAGAATATAAATACGTTTCTTCTAAAATCGTTCTATTGATTTTCCAGGGTACAGTCAAAAACTGGAGACACTTTTGCTGTTTCTATTGACTCCTCTATGGGCGAATTATTAATAATCTTCGTTTATAAAGACTTTGGTAAACAAACGTCCCTTAATTATTGGAGGTGACTTTAACTGTCATAACATTCTTTGGAGAGTCTGTCTGTCCCAATGCGTGTAACTTATGCGAAGAACTGAATAAAGCAGACCTCATCCTCCTTAATGATACCTTATTGATAGGTAGGCTCACCTACCTTAGTAGGTCGCCCACCCAATCCCGTTTCTGCATTAGACCTTACTCCATATCTTC